CGCAAAATCGCGAAATTAAGGTGTCGCGAAAATTTCATGTAATAAGGTAATAGCAGGATTGGTAATACAACTTGAGGATGAATCTTAAATGATTGCTACAAATTTGACAGATTCGTTTGAATTGTTTTAAAAAACTAAGTTGTAAGACAAAGGTCGTTCGTTAAAGTATTAACAATCTAACACATTTTTCAGTTTTTTTTTCCTATTCGTGGGCCTACTCCTGGATCTAGCGCAAGTCAGACTGGGAGATTGTGGTGGTTCATTGAGGGTGCGACTTTTGTTACTCTTCCTCGGATGTCGAGGGCGGAGTGTTACCAGTTTTACGCGGTGTTTCGTCTTGATAACGGTTCTTGTATTTGCCATCACTACAGCTTTCAGACCGCGAGAGGCACTGGAAGGAGGTTAGTTCCCAGTCCCAGCGGGAAAAAGATGAGCTGTTGGAGAGAGAGGCCACGTTACAGGAGCGAATGACGGACCTTCAGGAAGAGATCAGGTTAGATCATCAAATGTATAGACTGAAATTAAATTGTATCCTATTTATGTTCTTTATACCACGAGTGGCAGTCTCTGACTGATAGGTTAGAATAAACGTTCATGGAAACGGTTTTAGAGCTTGAATACTATAAATTAAACTTGAGCAATCTTTTCGAAATCGTCTTAAACACTTATCGCCCAAAACTTGTTTTTTTCGGTGCTAAACAGAGACAAATTTTGTTGGACGAATTAAGGTTTCGCAAATCCTGTAGCTAAATATGCGTATACACATTCGATTTACATTTCACTGTAAGCGAAGCATTTTCTTCTACTGCAGACTTCTCCAAGCCGAAGGAACTGCCAAAGAAGACAGCCAGACATCTATGCAACACGAAAATACCAGTTTACGAGCGACTATTTCACGCCAGAGCCAAAAAATTGGCCGAATTGAAAACGAACTTAGAAAAAATGAACTGTTATTGAAGGACCAGGGAGAACTACAAAGTACTGTGGAGAAACAACGAGAGAAAATCATCCAATACCAGCGGGAGATTGAGGAGACCAAACTTCACATGGCACGACTTGAAGAACTGGTTCATCAGGTTCAGGAACAGAGCATGAAGGAACACGTGATTGCCACGCCTTCTGTGAGTGTTTTTAGAACGGTTACGTCACACCTTTTTAGGGTTTGCTGTGATGTATAGACCGGTGTTAAAAATGATAGCGTGTTCTGACATGCTTAGAATTTCATTTTGTTCGATATATGAACGAGATATGAGTATTTCAAGATCCGCCTACTTGCTGCTTCATAGCCGTCCCTTTACGTAATATGCGCTGTCACAAAGTGCCTTGTGTCTAAATCGAGAACGGAACAAAAACGTGGCCTACCGGAGGAATTAGAATGTGTTTCCTGTTCCTTATCTCAGCTTGCATAAAAAAGAACTGGAGATAAGAGGCTGATCAATATTCTTTTTTCTCTATTTCGCTTGCTGTCTCATACACGTATTTGTTTTATACTCAATTAAGGAACCGTTACTAGTGTTTTTATGGCTTCTCTGCTTCTGTTGTTCATCTACGATGAAATGCACAGCCATATATTTCGTTTACACGATACATGTAAGAGTAAAATGATCGAAAACATGCGATAAAATCCTTCTCGTGATTCAACAATATTTGACCTTTTTCTATCTTCAGACCAGCGATAGCGGCATCTGTAGTAGCACCCAGACTATCAACGGTTATAACAGCATCAGTCCACGAAACCTGGGCAGCTATATACACGATGACGTAGAAAACGAGCGTGATCACGTGACGGGCAGCGGTGGAACAGCGCGGGCGGTCATTGCTGATCTCAAGCTTAAACTGGCGATGAAAGAAGCCGAGATTCAGAAACTACAGGCTACTGCTGTGGCGCGGGCAGCCGCTCAGCAGAAACACATAGCGGGTGAGTAATAAGCTTGTTCTTAGGTGTGGTGGGATAATTTGACAGTTATTATGGAGTCATCTGTTTTCTGCAATATCTTGAGCATCTTTGAGCTTAAGTTTCCCTTTTAGCCTGGGTAATCGACCCTTGACGGCTTAGCTTACAACAAACTTTAGGTATTCGGATTTGCAAGGTGTTTTGGGCAGACTTTTTTTTTNAGCTTCAAAAGAGATGTAAGCAAATCTGAGTACCTAGAACAAGTAAAGAACCTCAAACATAGACAAGCTTTGGCAAAACTCCGATCTGGTAATCATAGCCTTGGAATTGAATCTGGGCGACACTGTACTCCTAAATTACCTGAAACTCTTAGAATTTGTCAGTACTGCTGTTGTAACCAAATTGAGAATGAAATGCATTTCTTATTTCATTGTGACCGATACGATAATATTAGACAACAACTCACAAATGACATCATCAAGAAATATCCAAAATTTGATTCCTTTTAATAACACAGAGAAAACAATATTTCTATTAAACAATGCTGACACTTTTATTTGTAAAAAACTAGGTTACTTTACATATGAAGCACTACAAATAAGAGAACTTTGTAACCCTAGAACTTAAAATGAAGAATCTTGTTACTATGTTTATTTTTCTTTCTTGTTGATGTTGTAATTTGTTTCGTTTTTTGAATTTTTATTTAGCGATTCTGTATTTAGGTAACACCATCTATATTGGAATACCAATAAATTGTTGTTGTTGTTGTTGTTGTTGTATTTTTGATATAACGGGACTCGTGATTGGCTCAAAATTAAGTGGCGTGACCAGTCATGCATGAAGCTCAAAGTCGTCACTAAATATAAATACAACAAAATACCAGTATGTCTTCGATTTATGAGAAATGGGACTGTATAAGCGAGTTTCTTTAGCGCAAATTCATTTTTTGTTTTTTCTTCGTGATAATAACCCAGCTTATTAGATTTCCCTTTAACAAGTCGATTTAACCGGGAGAAAACCTGCCTAAATACAAACACTGAACCTTGAGTTCGAATTTGCTTCCCTAACTGTTGCTATGACAGCGAAATGTTAGTCACAGCTTTTCTATTTGGACAGAGTTCGTGAATTCAGAACGCATATTTTCTCGTCGAAAATTGTTACCACCTGCTTCCCGAATTAAGTTCGACGCAAGTACGCCGTCTGAACCAGCCGTCGCTCCAAAGTCGCTCTAAAGGCGAACTTAATCAAGTTTGGTTTGGAACATGAGTGGAGCGGCGTTTGGATCGGGCCTTACATACACAGCAACCAAGAATGTGAAATTCATCACGCTCAGCAGGAAAATTTCAGCCTGAAACTTGTCGCTAATCTGACTCAAAGTTGGCCCTCCATTCCCATAGTCCTAATTGTCTCAGAAGGGGTGCTAAAAAGTACTGACAGCGAATAACAAAAATTATGGAATCGAAGGCAGAAATGGCGGCGAAACATGTTGCGGTTTTCCTTTATGTTCAAGTTTTGCGCATGCTCGTTACGGTTCTCAAATGATTGACAGATTTCTTTACTGGGGCGATCATCGAAACTAAGCTTTTGTACATTATGCTAGCATTTTTAGTGAGGCAAAAGCATTAAGCATTATTCGAGCATTTTGGTGGCATTTTCCCGGAAAATTAATATTTTTTCCACAGAAAATAGAAATAAATTTTTTTGTGTGTGTGAGAAAATGAAGACTTAACTTAAACTCTGCACTTAAGTAAGGGGACAAAGGATTAACAGAACAACAAATCATTTAGAGAATTATCTTTTGGTGTATTAAAACTATTACATACGTTGTTGTTAACTTGTTGTATTAAGTATACGTTTTTGTTAAGCACTCTGAACTGTTAATTGTGTTGAAACGTTAAAACTATTACTGTAAAATCCCTATATATATATGGGCATTAACCGAGCATTTTAGTGACTTTTTTTTTGGGGGGGGGGGGGGGGGAGGGGGCTAGAGGGTTTTCATCCTTTTCACTTCAGTACTGAATCCAGAAACAAATGTCTTCTGAGCATGGTGACCAAGTACTTGGCTTGCGAGTTGCGTCATGTGTTCGATTTATCACCAAAAATGTTTGCGCCGCCAATTTTTCCGGATGCGCTGGACAGAGAGCCAAGTAGCCATGTTTATTCCAGATTCATATTTTTTGACTGTTTTATCCCAGGGATAAATGACAAAACGACCCAGAGGCCTATTTTTATCATTTTTGTGTTTTGATTTCTCGTGTGCGCAATTTTTTCCTCAGGTTTAGCCGGCGATGGTGGGGTTATGGACGGCTTAAGGACAGAGCTGTCTGCCATCGTTGAACGCAGTCGGATTGGTGATCGCAAGCAGCAGGAACTAGAACAGATCATTACACGCTTAGAGGATGAGCTGGCGCGTCACTCCACACAAACTGTACAACTAGAGGAACGGCTGGCGGACAAAATGGCGCAAATTGCGTCACTGGAAAGTAAGCTCGGTCAGAGAAATCTCAAGGTGGTCGATTTACAGAACGAACTGGAAGAAAAGATTTCAGAAAATGGCATTCTACAGCGAGAGGTAAGAAATATTGTTAAGGAATACAGGAGAATTAAATCACTCAAACACTGTACATGGTTTCGCACTATGCATATGCGTTTAAAGGTGGTATTAGGTTAGCTTTGTTAATTCTTTTTACTTTCTAAGGTACGGCAGGCGACGTCACGCTTAGGTAGCATCGAGAAACAGCTGACTGACAGGACATCAGAATCAGGTTTACATGAAGCAAAACTTAAAGAGCTTCAAGAAGAGCTAGAGTCCAGGACCCGGCGCAATGGAGAGTTGGAAGGAGCACTGGAAGCCAAGGAAATAGAACTGAAGGAATCGGCATCACTTGTGGACAGAGTGAAAGCGTTACACGGTGAACAGTGTCACGAACTACAGAGACAGATAGAGGAGGTAAGGAAAAGGAGAATTATGAAGTCTGCTGTAAAAGCGGGCTTGGATCAGTACGCGTATAGGTCAAGGCTAGTTTGAGCGCAATAATAATAATAACAACAACAACAACTTTATTTAAGTGTCGAATGTATTTAGCACTATTGTGCTAATTGGGACACTGTAAATAAGTAACGAAATATTACAAATAGAAAATAAACTATTAAGAATCCCAACTGGTGGGAGGCTGACCAGTTGGCTATTTACATAACGCAGTCGAGGGGTTGAACTCGGGGCTACCGAGAACAAATCCAGATAGCAGTAGGGTGGAAGATTTGAACCCGGGACCTCCAGATTTCACATCCAGCGCCCTAAACCACTCGGCCACGCTGCCTCCCTAAGAACAAGTGCCTCCCTCCAAGAACAAGTGTAACCATATGCATTAGCTAGTAGGAAAACATATGGTCTGGAGTATTGGAGAACACTTGTTCTACTTTTGTTTTAGCTTATGCATGTGTCACGGTGATTCCCAGAGTGGCGTGACTTTGATTCGGTCTTCTTATTCCTGTGCTTGTGATTCCGCAAGTGAAAAGTAGCCAGCCCTAAACTAAGAGTCCTGTTGAACAGGAGATATGGATCTCGAGCCGTTTTAAATGTTATTGGTTATTTGCGATATTTTATAAAATAAATTTGTAAAGAAAGCTTTGAAGCTTTTCTCGAACCTTCGCGTGTTTGGATCAGGCCGCTATGCGATAAACAGCGCTGCATTTTTTATTTCTTTAGTTCAGTTTCAGCACGACTTACACACATAAACAATAGCCGCGTTTGTTACGTTCATGAAGTAAGAACGTAATAATAACTGAAAATAATTCGTGCCTGTTTGGGTATCCCCATGTAAACATCGCTTAAGTAACAACGTTGATTTACTGAAGTTTCTTTTCCCCATTTCAGTTGCAGAGAACATTTGAAGAGAAAAACGCTATCGTAGCTCACCTGGAAACGTCCTTGGCAGGTACAATAATGTTCGAAGTTCCCATTTAGCATTTATAAGGGCTTCAAAAAAACGTTCATTTGGTAGGCAATGTCAATTAAACTTTGTAGAGGGGAAAGGCAGTTGAAAACACTTTATTTGACTTGTTATTAATTTTGGTAAGGAACTGACTTGAAGGGGACAAGTGAAAGGATTATTTCATGATGAAGTCTTTGAAAAATCTCTCCAACATAACGAACAAAGATGATTTCTTAGCAGTACAAACCATGCTTTCTACGTCTTCATGCAATTTGGCAATTGTATTAGATTGCTATATCGTTTACTTTCTGTTGTAGCCTCTCGCCAAGAGCTTAATCTCAAAAAGTCAGTTGCTGACCAAATGGAACGAGCTCTCAAAGAACAAAAACAAGAAATCGAAACACGAGACACGCAATCGGCTCAACATGGCCAAAAACTGGAAAAACTGGAAGAGCAGGCTGACAAGGCCACGCAACAGGTCAGAAAGATGGAGGTGTCACTGGCGGAGTGTCACAAGGAGATTGAGATGTACATTGGTCAGTTAAAGGAAGCCCGCGACGCGCATGAGCAGGAGCTGGAAGAGCGGAGACTGGAGGTGAGATGCATAATAACAAAATTTGAAAGACAACCAAAAGAGCGGGGTTTTATTTCAATAGCCCTTTCACGGTTAAATGTTCTCTTTACATTAGAACATAATCGAGCATGTACAGTATGTGAAGCAACTTCGGCCAATTTTGCAGTTTCTGCCCGAAATATTACCCCGCATTCACGTTGGATTACATTGTAATGCAAGTGAAAAATGTTCACCGCGAAATGGGCTATTGAGTGTCGTGAGACCAGAAGCAAAGTAATGACTCTGGCGAATCACAAAGGACGGAGACAATTGATCCAGTGAACCAATTAGATTTCAAAACAAACACATGTAGCTTACGCAAAGCGCGGGAAAACGAGTAAGTTACGATTGGTCAGTTTGGTTTTACTTCTGATTGGATGAGAAAAACTTGCAAGTATTTAAGCTAATAGCTTATCATAGTAATACAAAATCAAAGCAGATGTCGACTCTCAAGTGAAAACAGCCCTATACTACATTGCGTAATTTATAAGGAGAATAAAGAGAAAGAAAACCGAAAACAACATTTCGATAAACATACACTTGCTGCAAATAAAGGCCGGCGTTTCTTACTCTGTTGTTGTTGAATATTTCTTAGATATCCAAATTGGAAAAGGCATTACAGCAGACTTTGTCAGACTTACATCAGAAAAACGAACAGATTGTTCAGCTGGAAGGCATAGTCGCAGATCAACAGAACGCGTTGAAAAAGGAACAGGAGAGAATGCGTGACTTGGAAGAGTCACGCTCTCATCTTCAACAACAAGTAGCTATTCTTGAAGAAGAAATGAATCGTGAACGAAACACATCGCAAATGGAGTGCAGCGAATTACAACAAAGGCTTCAAGGAGCCAAAGACGATATTGACGAAAGAACTCGACAAATTAACGAACTGAACTCAACGTTGAGGGAAGTTCATAAAGACATGAAACACAGTTCAGCGAGTATTGTTGAATTGGAACAGCTTTTACAGCAATCTAGAACCCAGTGCGACAAAAAGACCGCGCAAGCACAGACTCTGGACCAGGCCCTCAAAGAAACGCGGAAGCAGCTGTCCGATATGACAAAGAAAAACGGGGAACTGGAAGAGAGGTTGCGTCAAACGGAGAGCGAATATTCAGAAATGACGGAACAAAATTCGCAGCTAGATACTGAGGTGTGCCTTCATAAGACTTATTTAAAACTGCCCTTTGGTGTTTACATTGATGAAGGTCTTGCTGTATACTTTCCCTAGTTGAGAAAGAAGGAGGGTTGCAAATACCAAATTTTGCTTAGGAGGAGAGAAAGTTATTAATTTTGAGGATTGTTGTTATCAGTACTCAAGGTATGAAAGGAGACCTCCCATTTATTAGCCACTTTGAAACCAATTTCTTGGTGTCAGATATGATTTTAAAACGACAGCCAAGGGGCGTAGAAATGAAGAGAGAAAGACAGAGAAACCTTGCATGACAAAATCTCATCAAAAAGCGTCACACAATCGCCGTTAAAAATCCGTGACCGCGTGACATAATTGTTAAAAATCCGTGACCCAGCTCTTTCTCCTTCAGGTGAATAAAATCCAAACCGAGTTGCAAGATACGATCTCACAGCTGAAATCTCTGCAAGACGTGTTGCAGACGAGTCAGAAGGAAGTACAGGAGAAAGGAAAGAAAGTTGAGGAACTGGACAAAATGTTGAACGAGAGCATGGAAGAACTGCAACAGAAGGACAAGAACTTAAAAGAGAAGGAAAGCAAAGTGGTGGAACTTGACAAAGCACTCAAGGAAAGACAGTGGGAACTGAAACAGAAAGCAGCACAGGTGAGGAACGACACTGATAGCTTTATACGCTTCTAACATTTTAGGCAACTTTGTTGTTTCTTCCCGAAGTTAACTCGCATCGGTGAAAACTTAAAGGCTTTTCTTTTATCTTCAGCAGTTACCAATTAATTAAATCTCTTCTCTCTAGAGGACTTGTCCAAAACGTGTGAAAATAGCTGCGGAGAATGTGATTTTCATCTTCAGAATACGGTTCAAAATGACAGAATTGTTTTGGACTAAGCTGAATGAAACGGACTATTGTGGCTTCCAGCTAATCGTGCAACAATGTTGCATTGCATGTTGAAGAGGATTGTGGGATGTATTACCATTCTTGTTGCAAGTTGTGGCCACATTGTACACAAAGTTGAAGTCGTTTTTACCTCTCGAAGGGGCGCTTTCCAACTTGCAAAGCAACGTTGTTGCGTGTCAGATAGAAGAAACTGCTCATATTTCTTGGCCCTAAAACCTGGTATAAGAAACAAACCTTTGGGAGACGAGCTTTTGAAAGCAGTCTTTTAAGTTAACGCGGACGTTGACGTGGTCTGACAGACTAAAAGCAATGTCCAAAATATTTCAATCCCTTTGTTTACGTCGCCACTAACTCTTTTTGGGGCGTTGCCAGGTTACCCAGCTGGATATGACCATGAAGGAACACAAGAGTGAACTGCAACAGAAGGTCATCACTTTAGAGCATGCGCTCAACCAGGCTCGATACGAACTCAGCGAGAGAGCTGTGGAGGTAAATAACACGCGCAACAAACCATTCTTCCTCGTATTATCAAACGTGCTGTCACTAGCATAGAACAGGTTTTATTATAAAAACGATGAGGTAGTGAAGACTCAGTGAAAACCACTCGTTCAGAATCAAATCACTAGCCCTTTTGACTTCGAGAGTGCATTTTGTTGTACACTGTTGTGTTATTGAAGTTTTTACTGAGAAGTATGTTTTGTTCATTTCCTCGACAGATTGCTGAACTGAAAGCCAAACGAGACCAGAATCAAGAGCAAGAGAAGCAGAAGAGAACCAGAATTGAACATTTAGAGAAAACGGTTAAACAACAGCAGCAAGAGCTGAAGAAGCGCGCCTCGCAGGTGGCGGAGTTTGAGAGAGTAAGAATTGTGTTCTGGTTTGAATTTTTAAATTTTTTCAGCGCCTGGCTAAATTTCAATAACGCATTAAAACATCGAAAAACCAGAAGAAAAACCCGCGTGTGAAAACAGTAATTGGCCCCTACGTAATTTCCAAAGCCGAGGACAACACTGTTACCAAGCGCGAAAACACGTGTAAGCCAAGTCAGGCTTGGTTTCGGTACTGGCTAGCTTTGGTTTTGCTTCTTATCGGTTCAAAAATTTATATTCTCTGATTGGTTATGGCACAATCTACACAAGTTTTTAACTTGANGGTACTGGCTAGCTTTGGTTTTGCTTCTTATCGGTTCAAAAATTTATATTCTCTGATTGGTTATGGCACAATCTACACAAGTTTTTAACTTGACAAACCTTAAACCAAAGCGATTGTTCAATTACCTTTGAAACTCAACTACGACTCAACAGAAGCGCTTTGAAACCGACATCCAAATGCGGAACAAATTTGAATAGGCAAGTGAGGTCAACTTTTTTTCTGCTAACTGTTTCCTTTGGGTTTTTAGGAGATCAACAAGTTGCAGAAGAGGCGTGAAGATTCTGAAGAGACGAGTCAAGAACTGCGCTTGGCGCGAGAACAACTTCAGAACACGGTATCGCTACCTTTTACCGAACAACTTTATTCCTATGTAATGAACTAGTCTAAAGTGCAAAGGGATAGTGACGAGAAAGACAAATTTCAGGACTATGTCATGCAGAAGAGACTGTATCAACATAACGTTCGTTATTTTTTCCAACATAGCGATTTAATAACTTAAGATCGAGCGAAACCTCAAAATCTGATCAGGTTAGTTTTGTCATAAAATTGCTAGTATAATTCGTATAGAATTTTAAATCTTGGAATTTGTTGTGAATTCTGAGCACATGGTTTTCTGTATGTATATACGAAAGTAGGTTTCGAGTGTTTTGTGTTGAAACATGAATAAACTTTTCACAGCGAAGCGATGTCAGCAAACAAAACTGTTTCTCTGAAAAAAAAAAAGTATTTTGGTCCACCATGTGTATATTTCTGTGTAAATGTGATTGATTCACATTTTTAATCATCAGATTTGTTTACAATTTCTTATCTGTAGCACGCAGAACTGATGGAAGCCCGCCGTGATCTCTTGAAATGTCAGCGGACTGAGCAGGAGCTAATCCATGAACTTGATGACGCGCATGCCCTGTTAACCACAAAGGAAGGAGACTGTGCCAGGCTTGCAAAGGAACTTGGGGCGGCTCAGGTACGAGAGGCTCAGGCGGAAGCTAAATGTGTACAGGAAATGAGGAAGGCACAACAACAACACGAGCTGAAACAGGCCACTCAGGATCAAGAGGTGAGAATGAACAAGCAGTCCCATTTAAATGACTGAGGAACGATTTAGCAGTCCTATTTTTGAATAACTCTCTTCTCCTTTCACTTTGTCAGGTCCAACGCTTACAAGAAGACCACGTCAAAGCAATCGCGCAGAAAGACGAAAGTGACGCCGCCCATCGGTTGGAGATTCAAAGATTGCAAGAACAAGACAGACGACGCGCCCAGGATTTAGCGCGGGCACAGGAGCAAAATGCGACTTTAGTAGAGGATAACAGAAGCTTGGCTTCTCAGCTCGTGTTGTACCAAGATGATGCGAAGGCGACAAGCGAGATGTTAGTTATCAAGGACGCTGAGGTAATAACTAAAGGTTGTTTGCATGATTGTTTTTGTTCCAAATAGTTTAAAGAATGCTGAAGATAAGGTTTAGTAGCATCTTCTTTCTGTGGCCACCATTGGTTGACAGAAATTTAACAAATAAATGTACCATTTCTCCAGGAAGACAAACTATCACCGAGTAGTTTTAAGTTTTCCTTTGGTTAAGCCTCTTTAGGCGTTTCGTTAGCTGGGGAGCAGCGCGTGTAGACCTCGTAGGTTTTCTTTCTTTTTTTTTTTGTTCTATTTTGTTTTGTTGTTTTGTTTATGAAGAAACAAAGATATTGAAAATGTTGATATTTTGTATTTTACAATTGCCCTACTTTGAGCTGCTCATTAACAAACCGAACGCCTGAATTGAGCCACAGTAAGTTTTTTTTCATGGCAACTAGATTTATCGCACGGTAATAAAGGCAATTAAATTTATTTCTTAAATTACAATTCAAGTTTGCACGAAGTTTAAAGTTGTTCGTCAACATTTGTGTAGTTGTGAGTTTTGACAGAATGCGAAAGTCGGCTAGTTCTCAAGTTTTACGGGTCACTTTAACTCGTATCTGTCGTTGTTTCCACATCACAGATCGCTCGTCTGGAGGCCAAAGTATCCGGATACGAGCGGGCTACATTCGGCTCAAGTGCTCGGCTTGATTCGACAGGGCGAGTTACTCCGAGAGGTACAAGAACAGCCACACACATGCGCCATGTAACCTCGCCAAGAACCGTGTCCAAATCTTCGGTCAGCGGTATGAAGAAAAGCAGCTCGGACCAAAACCTTCATGACTTGTCGACCAACAGCACGCTGGTGACGTTCAGTCATCTCAACGCCCAAGACAGGATAGAGAGTCGCGCGTACCCTCAAATTCCATCTGTTCATGTGAGCCAAGATCACTCGTCACGCAGTCAGAATTCGTATTCTCTCCCGCAAGACCACAGCAGAAAAGTTAGGTCAAGCTTGGAAACACTCGAGGGACTCCTCAAGCAAGCTAACATGGAGATGGCGCGAGAAAGCCTGCCCTTGCTTCTCAACGCCTCCACGTCACAACCTGGTGACGTCACACTCTCTACCGCTGACCTCAACAGCACGCAGCCTTCTCCGCCCCAGAAGGAAGAGCGCGACAGAACTGGTGAAGTCGAGAATGGTATAAGCGATGAACACGAAGAGCAGGTCAGCGGTTTGTATGAAAACCTTCATGAACAGTTAGAGAGAAAGAAAGCGTCACTGGGTATGTCACGTGATCGAGGAAACGATGAGGATTCGCTGGATCCTGAGAGATGGTGAGTTCGTGGACATTTTGAATTTCTATGAAACATCTAAATAGGACTGTTTAGCGTGTTGATAAAAATCCGGCTATCCTTACCAACCCCGTCTGATAGCCCTTGAAGTTTTAGGCTTTTCGTGGTTCCAAAAGAGAATAAAAACAGGCCCCGACAGCAGTATGCAGTGACTCTTTGAGCTCAATTTTTCAGGAGTTTTCTAGGAGCACAGAGTCTGAAGCTCTTACTGCGCTATGGGATAGCGCTTTTTAAATTCTGAATTGTGTTCACAAGTGCGCGAGTGCTCACTGTTGTTGAATAAGCAACCCCTTACGATAATATGGCCAGTCAAATTCATGGATTCGCAATAAACCACTCGTAGTTTCTACCAAGAAAAGTATCATGCTATTTGTGATGTGTATGTAACGACCATGATAGTGGTAACCATTTATTCTCCCAGACTCGAGTTATAAGAGAAATTTGTTTAGTCTATGGCTATGTTGAAACACGATACAAAGTTACAGGCTTCATTTTGACTCGCAAGTTTGGCGAGCTAGGATCACTACATGTTGACTGTTTCACATTGTATCTCTTTTTATTGTTTTGGTTCTAACTGAATTTCTTTCTTTCTTTCTTTCTTTCTTTCTTTCTTTCTTTCTTTCTTTCTTTCTTTCTTTCTTTCTGTCTTTTTGCAGTCGTGCCAGTCTTCAACAACGCTTGGCTCTTAACGAAGCAAGAAGAAAAAACATCGACCAACAGTTACTGGAAATGCAACAAAGCGCGGTATCTTAGAAGCGCCTTGGAACCATAAATACGCTACTGGGCGCCAGCAGAGAAGCCTGCGGAATAATTACTGTTCAATCGCACAAAGAGTAAAATGATGGTTGCATCGAACTCGAGAGTTCGCCCACGTATTAATTAAGCACAGGGTTGGAAACTGGAATCAGGAACGCGATCAGGGGATTGCGTGTATGTAAATAAGCTTTACGCACTGCACATTAGTCAAATATACACATCGGAAAACATTTTATACCTAGAATCCAAACGACATTCAAGCCAAAAAAATAATATGTAAGAAAATTTAGATTCACCTCACGGTAAACCTCTAGGCTCGGTTTTTGAATACGATTAGCACTATTTCAGGGTAAAATCTTGAGAGAGATATGTCAGAACAAAACTAAATTTCAAGTTAATCCTGCTTGAAGCGAAAGCCCCAAGTGACAAGAGTTCTTTCTCTCACGGGATCGACTCTTTCGTTCGTATCAAATTTAATGACTCATAATCTGCGGTTTATTTTCATCCAGAATTGCTGGATAAACGTGTTTGATCTAATAAGCCGAGGCGCAAGAGTTGATAAGAGTTTTCGCCCGTTTGGAAGTACAAAACAAACGACGAMCGTWACATGTTCAAAGTAGGCAAGACGTTGTCTGGTTCCCAGGCCTCGATATTTCGCCGTGTTCAATTGTTTTGGGGTTACGTGGTCCGAGTGAAAAAACGTTACTGTTCGACTCGGATCGGGAAAAAGCCGTACAGGAACTAGGCATGGCGTTTTGCTTACTTTCAGGTCGTTTAGCCGCATGCTGGCGATAGTTGATGAAAGTGAAGTCGAAGAAAATTCCTTTATGATACGGGATTATCCAACTTTATAATATAGATAGGACCCTGCGCGCACTCTGATTGGTCAAAAACCGATGTTTTATCAGAGTATAAAACAAAAAGCGTGTTTTATTGTTTTTCGCTACATTACCTCTATATCATAAAGACATGTGAGAACACCCGGACATGTGAGAACACTAGAGAAATGTAGAAAACACTCGCCTGCGGCTCGTGTTTTCTACACATTTCCCTCGTGTTCTCAAATGCCCGTCGTGTTTTATCAGTGTAATACACGGCTTAGGCTTCTTTATTTGTTAATCATAACATGTTTCAAAATATATGTTGTACATTAATATGGTATATCGTACGTAAACAGAGTCGCGTTTTTCATTGTCACTTTGATGACAACAAATCATTTGTGTAAGCATTAATTAAGCGCTAAAGAGATGTAATATATTTTTATAGATATTTGATACATAGGCGATTTCTGTAGTAATTTTGACATAGGTGATTGGTTATAGTAAACTAATAAATTATGGTAGACGTAGATAATGATAATTTAATGAAACGCGGTTGATTTTTCACGGTAACTGGTTGTGTGGCATTGACTGGGCTGTCGCGAACTATTTCATGTCGTGATGTTAAATAAAGGGAATCAATTTGGTCGTAAATTCTTTCTTCTTTGCAATCAATTTCGCTATAGCGTGCTTCCACAACTATCACTCATTAGTATAAATCCATTAGCGTTCTATCACGAATGCTGTTCTCTAATTGGCTACGCTACTCACTACCCATTCTGTTGTAGACATTGAGTAGCCTAGCACGCCTGTGCTCCATAAAATGAAGTGTGCGAGTTACATACCAACAAAACTGGAGAAATGAGATTCTGCATATCTGTGCTATAAATAAAAGGAATATCTTTGATTTCATCATTGCAAACAAATTTTTTTCTCGATTATATCTGATCGGACGGTGTCGCAACGCTATAAAAGAACTGCTTCGTGCGCGCTTTTAGATGTGCGTCAATCGAGTTTAATATGGGTGCATTGTGGAGTTTGCAGAGCGCTGGAGGAGCTCTAGTTGGCGGCCAAGCTCCGAGCAGCTCATATGCTTCTCTCGTGTTGTCCAAACTCCCAATTGCATCCGTAACTGGAAAAATATGCTTAGCAAGAATCAATTCTTAAATTGTCAGCAATGAGGAAGTGGTATCTGTCATTGAAAATCATCTTCCCGCTGTCTTCCCTTAGGTTCGATTACCACCTGCTGTTTGAGAAAATGAGCCCGCTGTCCTCCCCAGAACGGTGGAAATCAAACGTAGGTGGTCTGTTCTCGGCCCACTTCACAGTAGAGATAAAGAACTTTGTTCTAAAGGCTTTCCCTGTTTTGTTTTCGGTTGCCGGGGATATATCGTAAAATACATGTTACGTTTCTTCTAGGGCATTTGACTAACTAGCGTACCTTGTGGCGGCAAGGACAGTAGCGAGTTTTTGTTGGGGTAAGCAAGTAGACGCCATTGAGGAGGGATTGCTGGGAATTTGATCAAAGTAGCCTGCGTGGCAAGCGTTTAAAGTGGAAGGAGAGGGGAAAACTAGAAACGTGAAGCTGGATCGGGAAAAAAATTTTCTGTTATTATATGGCTAGCTCCGTGAGTGTGCAAGAGGAATCAAATCCAGAGCTGTGATTGGCTACCTGAGCGGGCAAGATGGGGCTATCTTACCCGCTCGGGACTACCAGCCGTGTCCTGCAAGAAAAATTTCCCCGAAAGCCTTATAATGAATCCTTTATTGACCAAGTTTGTTCGGTCAAGATGGCTGGATATCGGTCAAGTTCTTTTTTTGCGAGTTTATGGACCTCTACTTCGTTTTCTCCAAAACTTTCTTTTTCGCCATAAATCGGTCCAATTGACCATTCTTAGTCTCTAACGAGCTAAATTTGGCTCGATGAAAGAATTCATACATTTTTGGACCCTTTGAATACCAACTACGCATATATATGCGTAATTAATAGTCGTGCTCTTTGTACCACTTGTGATGTCATCAATTTAAATGTCATCAGATATTCTTGATAAGCAGATAGCAGTACTAGGCTCGGCCTTTCCGCACAATGGTCAGGTCTAGATATCGACGATATTCCGACGTCGCAAATCGAAAAACGTTACCAGTTTTGGTGCAAAAACGGTGGTAAAATGGTCCACTACGCCTATGATTGATCAAGGTCRATTTCTAGGCTTCGCCCGTAATTAACATCCAACTTTTCACGGCAGCCGGAAAGAACATACGATGCAAAAGGTAGCCAGTGTAAAAGGGCAGAGAAAAGCAGAAAGGAAAGGGGCAACAAACGAAATTGGGAACGGTTAATGGCATAATGTGCAGAAGTCCAAATTTTGGCTTATGTGCATGCCCAGAATTGAAATTTTGCTCAATTTCGTACCTAATCCTCGAAAAATCTCTCCATTCAGTAAAAAAAAAAGCTTTCTTAGCAAAACTTAGGCCTATTTAGCGTCATGGCAGCTAAAAAACCTGACTAAACGGTTAAAAACGGTATTTTTTGGCGAAAGTTTGGTACTCAAAGGGTTAAACTCGCCAAAAGAGAACTTCAATATCCAGCCATCTTGACCATGCACTTGGTCAATAATCCAGATACATTTTCTGTGAACTGGACTAATAGTAATAAGAGGTAAATTTATCATATGGCAAGTAATTTTCACATCTTTGAAATTCTGGTAGTACAGGATGATAGTTCATCATTCTTGTTGCCAATTTTTGTAATTTTGCATACTTTTCAAAAGACATCTAATTTTCATGGTTTTGTTGCCCTGACCAAACATTTAACACAAGAACTGACAGTTTGGTACAGATAACAGACCCTTTGTTTTGATTGAATCATTCAAATTTGATCAGTTGTCAAAAAATGGACTGACCACCATTGTATACGAATATGTAAAAAGAGTATGTGATGATCCAAAGCTAAAATATTTGCGCATCTAAAGAAAATTTGGTTTGAATTTTTAATCAACAGGAATTGACATTTAATTTTTCAGAAACCTTTTTCTGTTCATGACACCAAATGCAAAATAATGAAAAATCAAATTTGTTTCGACCAAAAACTTGGTGCAATAGGGTATGCTTTTAGGCCTCCTTTGGACAGCCAATTAGCCTGCATTGCAGATGCTTCCTTTCCTTTTCCAGGAGGGAGATCAAGCAAGCAAGCAATCACACAAACGGGCACATCTGGGGTGAGAAAAATGGGAAGAGGTGGGGAGGGGGTGGGCAAAAAAAGAGGTGCTCCTTATTTTTCGCACTAGCTCGCAGTTTCATTCCCTTTGCATACTTTTGAAAATAATGAATGCCTGCTACACAAGCTAAGCCACTGTTATCTACCTAATCATAACAACTGCAAACAAGAGTGCTTTGAAGATAATTTATTGGGTTAACTAGCTCATTCGTCATCGCTGCCATCGTCATCATCATCATCGTCACCTTCACCCTGCTGCTTTAGGAAGTATGCCTTCTTCTGAGCAACACGGGCCTTGCGTTGTTGAAGGGACATCTTCTTGCGGTTGAACCTAAATAAGATAACACAGTTTGAGAAACAGCTATG